CCAATGGCTCGGCTGCTGGGAATTCTTCACCACATGCACATCTTGTACGTACTCCTGAATTGGTGGTTTGGGACCATCATTATTTCGCCCACCATTCTTCGTCTCCCCACACCGAAAGGGGATTGCTGAGACAAGTATTTCTGGTGTACCGCAGAGTTGGGTGCCTTGCACAGAGTATTGTGACCGAAAGGGCATGGGCATTCGGGTATGTGAACAGGTGCCCCAATGCTGGCTTCCCTCACCCTTCTTTCCGAAAAGCTGACCCTCAAAAAGCGCAACAAATCGTACTAAATGGGTTTGTCCTTGGTTCTTGAGGTACCCTTCTCCCGGTGGCTTTGGATACACGGATGCACCAACTTCCAAAACGAGGCCACATCCCTTTCTGTGGGCTCCGCTCGGGGGTCGGATCTTCTGAGGCCTTGGAGCTGTTCGGGTGCCAGCAGCTGCCTCTGCGTGAGCTGCGGCGCGCGCATCCGCAGCTGCGGTGCCTCAAGCCGGGAGCCACAGAGCGCCAGAGCGCGAGCGAGAGCGATGGGAGCCTGGAGCTGGGGATGAGCGGATGGGTGTGGCGAAGGGTTTGGTTGCAGGAAAGTCTACAGGAAACGGCAAAAAAGAAACACCGTAAGTAGGCTGCTCTCCTGTAGAACTTCCTGTAGCCCAACCCTTTGAGTGTGGCGAAGCGGGTGATTTTTTTTTTTTTGGGGGGGGGGCCGGTGGGGAAGATTTACGCACATGAAAAAAGGAGACTGGCCATTTGGGGGGGTACGTGTTGGGAGAAACCCGTTGGTCAAAAGGGTGTCGCAATTTGCCAAACAGTACCGAGATTGCTGGTTTCCTACTGAAATACCATTCTCCCCATTGTTCCAGTCGCCCCATTCCACTGTAGATTACGGAAGATCGGAAGCTAAACTTTAGTTCAACAAATATATGTTTAAACTTGGCGCCTGGAGCAGCTTTTTACCTCCGCCAGGTGAAAGATGGATCCCTTTTTTTTTTTTTGGGGGGGGGGGGGGGACAATCCGAGTGCCGCCGAGTGCCGAGGTTGTCGTCCTGCCAGCTGCTCAACTTGCAGCTCCAGTGCCCTCAGCTTGAGACCCTCTACCTGGGCGGCTGCGGTCGGCTTGCGGATGCGGAGGGTCTTGGTGCCTGCGCCGTACAGGTGTTGGCAGACTTGGGATGATAAAGATAGACTTCAGCTTGTCCAAACGGAAGGGGAGAAATGGCTGTGGGTCAAATCCAATGGCACCATTTTGGGGTAGGTGCACATTCAGTGCAGTCTATTTTAGTGGGGATTGGGATGTTCACTGGGGGTACGGGATTTTGACCCATGGCCAAATGTCAATAGCTCAGATGGCCAAGTCTTTGCAGGCCTGGTGCGTGATTGTAGCCGCCAGAAAATTGACAGCAGCCCACAAGCACCCCTTCTGGCCATGATGAATAAGCCTGCATAGTTTGGCGGCTTTTGGCGTGCAGGGGTTGCAAAACATTGGCTGCTAGCATTGCTCAGGCTTGTCTCTCCCTCTGAACTGAGGTGTTACCATGAGCGTTTGCAGCCAGACATTGACTCTGCTCAGCCTTGTGGACTGCCACAGCCTCTCCACGCAGGGCTTGAAATCTGCCTTTCGAACAGCAGGCCGCTTGAGGCGGGGTCTTGCAAGCGTCAGCCAGGCACATGGTGCTTTTGAGCAAAAGAAGAAACCCAGTCTTTGGTCCTGCAGCCCTGAGGCTGTCAACGCTGATCCTGGGAGCTTGCAGGGTGGACGATGAGCTGTGCGGGCTGATTGGGATGAATTGCCCGGAACTGACTGCGCTGGATCTCTGGAACTGTCCACACATCACCAACCGCGGCATCTCTGCTATCATTTCCGCTGGAGCTCCCTTGTCCCAGTTGAACTTGCGCGAGTGCGTGAGGGTGGATGGTGAGGTGCTACCACAACTGGCCGCCTCGCCCAGCGTGCGCTTGCGTGCACTGGATGTCTCCTTTGTTGGCCGTGTCTACGACGTGAATCTCCTGCCAGTGTTGCAAGCCCACAACCTGGTCTCCTTGAATTGTGGAGGGCCCCAGTGCTTCGTCACAGATCAACTCTTGCCACTTGCCTGGTTTTATCCGCGGCTTGCTCTTTCACTGAACTTGTAAGCCAGTTGGCTTACCGCGACCGCTCTTTCATGCTTTTTCCGCCCTTGTTCTTTTTTCTTCCCTTTAAGTTGGTAGTTTGGATTGGTCGTTTGGATTTGCACTTGACCCCTGGCTTTTGAGGGTAAACGGCCGCCAATTCACCACCAAATCACCGATTCAGCTCCAAACCACCCAAAAAACAAGGGAAGCCGAGAAAAACAACATGAGAGGTTTGGCTCCAAACCACCCCAAAAAAGAGGGAAGCCGAGAAAAAACAAGCCTTGACATTCGAGGTTTGGCTCCAAACAAAACCCCCAAAAACGAGGGAGGCTGATCTTTGTGAGGTTGGCCCTGCCGGACACCTTGGAGTCCCTGGACCTGGCG